CTAGCTAACCTCGAATTATTAATTTGTTTACAAATTACAAAAAAATACAGTTGAGTCCGTAATTCCAAGCAACTGCCTGTGTAATCACCTTAGTATGCACTCTTCTCGAGAAGCTTCTTGTATTCGGTTAATTAACTCTTGCTCAATTTATACCTGTGTTCAGTAATTCATTGGTTTAATGTGATCTTACATACGTGGTAGGACTGTAGCCGGTATTTATTTGGTGCCTGGGAAAGTGTCAGTGGTTGTGCAATGTTCTGAGTGCCCCTGAAATGCTCTTCTGCAATTATGTCCAATACTTGTTCCTTTATGTATGGAACCCGAACATCTATTGTCGTCCACTATCTTCATGGAACCACTCTCCTCTTCCTTTGTTGGCGTGAGTTCTTTCAGCTTCTGCTATGTTACTGTAGCATTTCCCCTGAACTACTCGTATATCCGCACATTCGCAACGCAACATGGGAAAATCAAATAATTCGCAACATGGAAAATAAAAGACAATAATTTTGTCGGTATCATCTGAAAACGAAATCATGTAAGATAGTGCAAGTTTCGAGGTTCGCTAACCTCAAGAACCTTCAGAACCAGCTCTCATCAGTTGAGTTTAGCCTGGCAATAGCGACCGCGAAACGTGCACCTTACCGATGGCGAATCAAAATAGTTTCCTTCAATCAAGTGCAGGTTTTGCGGTCCTGGGGGTACCTGCCACTATCTTACATGAATAACAATAATATCATTCCCGCGATACACACTTGCTTTTGAGTATGTTGTTAATCAAGGTTTTATGGATGATAAATCCTACACCGTCTTCAGATGTCTTATCTTCGCCTTTATGGTGGAAGAGCTGATCACTTTTCAGGTCATTTTCTGAGTAATTAGCAGTCATACTAGGTTTCTTATTTTTTAGAGGCTTTTACAAGTATCAGAAAAAACGACACTACAAACATATATAGTACATTCCCAACTCTTTACCATAGTAAAATCACAATTTCACAAAACGGAAGCCAAACGCCGCAATCAATATTTCAAGTAGGAACACAATTCGAGGATTGGTTTCACTTTTGTGGTCAAAAGCATAGTAAATATGATAAAATAATAAAAAGGACATACACGTTTTATTTTTTGGAATGTTATTTTTAAAATATAGCCGAAAACAATGTTTTTGTTGTGTTTTAATGAATTATTAATTTGTAAATAAAGAAACTTATTAGTTACCTGTGTGCGCCGCGTCCAGACCTACCAAGCCGAGCCCGAGTTTTAAGTTAGTTTAAGTTTTATTTTAGTTTTAAATAACATGTAAGTCAGTAAGTTAAACGGGGTTATCGAGCTAGTCCTCACAAATGAGATTAAGAGACTGTTTTGACAACATTTTTCTTCCATCGAGGATCAAGAAAAATAATGTACGGTACGCGAGACGACAGCCCGCCACTGAGTGACGTCCGGTTGAAGCCTCGGGAGTCAGCTTCAACAACTTCGACTTTCGTTACTTGTACTGTAATATACTATGAATTAGTGACGGGAACTATCGAATGAAAGCATCGACTTATTCGATAGTTTTAAGTGGTTAATAAGTTAATATTTGAAATGGAATTAATTTGAGTTGTTCGATAGCAGTTCAATAAACAACATTTCATAAACTAATGTTTCACTTTTTAAGCAAATATATTCAATATTTACTTATTAAAATTGGTTTTTTGTTTTAAAATTTAAAAAAAATTGCTATACTTACCTATATTTGCATTATGAATCAGTACTTTTACTAATAGCAATACTATTATTAGTTAACTATTATATAGCTATTAAAAGTTATGATAACGTTGTCACTTTGCCGTCAGTGCTGTCAACCTTTTTGGCGCATATACCTGAATACCCCCACTGATGTAGGTTCATAGATTGAATCAAACATAGTACCTGAAGTTCCTGGTGAATTTTCAACAATATTAGTACATGCCATGGAAATTTACAGGTTCTAGTAGAACAATTATCATCTTTATATACAGGGTGTTTCAAAATTAGTCATTCCACTGGAGGTGTTGTCTGGGGGTGTCTTGGGAGTACAGAAAAAATAATAAAGCAAATTAAGTGTTATTAAAAACTCACATATTTGCAATAAACTAGATCAGAAGGATGGCAACAATGTCTTTCAAGGTAGTCTGCCTAATTAACATGTCGTAAATACCTGTTCCGTGGTAATTATTAAAAACTCCGATAACCATGGATAAACATGAAGCAAAGAAAATAAAAAAGACAATAACATGCGTTGAGGTTAGGATAACCTTGCGGTCACCTTCACCTGTCACCTTGCGGTCAGTGCTGCCATAGCCCCCTGAGTGCTGCCAACTTTGGGGCAAATGAGTGATATACCTAAATAGATCACAACTGTCATCCCAAACCACTTGACAAAGGTTATGCATCATTGATCAAATAAAATACAATACTGTTGTTAAAACTCAAGAAGTATTCCCAAGAGCAAGAAGTCCTGCCCGTTTCACTCCAAACATCTTTGGGTCCCAATCACCTTGAGTCTGGGCTCATATTTTGATCATCTTCTCGTGTTCGGTTAATTACCTGCTGCTCAATTTGAACCGGTGTTCGGAAAATCAGATATTTAATGTGTTCTAGTATCCTGTGCTCATTACATACATGGTAGGAATGTAGGCCCTTCCTCGGGAGAGTTCTCAGGACAATTAAGTATAGCCGCAGTTTGACAAATGCTTGTTATTATTGACAAAGGCTGTCTACCTGTAACTATCTGTTAATAACAAAAAACATCATTGCCGCTTTGACTTTTCATCAAAAAATTGCAGAAGAGTACTTTTTAATATAAAAGTTTTCCTTAATGTGACTAAAAGATCATCATTTTTCTTTTCGAATGCTTAAGTATTCAAATAGGCTACCAATCAAACGTGGGACCATTTCAATATAATGTTAAATAACAAAGTTGAAATTCGATCTTCAACTGTTAATATATTCTTGAAATTTTCAAAAAAAAATGTTTCAATATTTTTCTCGTACTCTCTAAGTGGGCTTCTATATACCCTTAAAAGGAATGACACCAATTTTGAATCACCCTGTATATTTTGAGCTGGCAAATTGCTTCAAATTGACCTATTCAGACTCCACCAGAAACAGATAAATTGTGCCCAACAGTTCTGCACACCATCCGATTTGCAGGGAATTGGATTTCAATCAGTAACATTTTATTTATATCCGAAATCCTGTCATATTTGCCTCGTGAAGAAGCGAACGCTGATGTTATAACATCTTACAGCTTTAGAGCTTAGACTTACACCACCGCAACATGGATTCAACATTATGACGTACTCATTGACATAGATATGTTAGTATTTAAGTTAGGGTTTTTTGTATATTAATTAGATTCAAGTAAAGCTTCAGTAGAATTTGCTATAGCCTTACAACCTATGGTATTATTTGGTCTCACAGCGAAAGTGAAGAGCAATTACTTTCACTAAACTTACAACTTAGTTAAAATTGTTCTTTTTAGTTTTACGTGATATTGTAAACATTGGTCCTTCGAGCCGGATGTGAACCAGCCACCTATGGATATAGTCCATAAACATTATTTAACAATAAATGTCATGGTAAGAAAATAGAGTCGCTGCTCCACTGAAAACCAGCGTAAAACCTTAAGCATGACCTTTATCGGACCATAACGACTATACTGAAGTACCAATTTCATTTCCCTCTTAAACAACACTTTCAACGATCCAACATGTTTTCTATTCATAAGATATAAAATAGTGGCACAGTAATCAAAATGCGGTAGCACTATTGCTCTAAACAATGTTATTCGAGCCTACAAAGTTAAACTTTTTGCTGCTCTGGAAAAGAAAAAGAGTTTTTTCCTAATTTTCTTTTTTATCAAACCCATAAGAGCATCAAAAGATAAAGCTTTATCTATCTGAAATCCTAAATACTTACTTCATTGTATCTGTCACATACGAATCTTGTTGTCTATTTTCAATGTAGAATTTCTAAGATCCACACTTTTAACCCTTTTTTGGGTGCCTATTAACATTACTTTTGTTTTTTCTATATTTAGCTTTAATTTATTTATTTCAATATATTCATCAAACTTGTCCAAGGGTATTTGTGATTTTTCTAGTGCTTCACCCATATGTTTCCGACTCACAGAAAATAAAATATAATTAGCAAATAGATTAATAAATTCAAGTTCTTCAATATAATTAATGTCATTTATGTATCTTATGAACAATAATGGTGCTAGAATGCTTCCTTGAGGTAAACCAAATTAATTTTCGCTCTCTGGTGATTTTATATTTCCTATCCTAGTTTTTTGTGTTCTACCTTGAAGCAAATATTGTTTAAACCACTCAAGTACCTGCCCGTTAATGCCATAGTACTGTAATTTTTGTATTAATATTTTGCGGTCAATAGTTTAAAATGCTTGCCGAAAGTCAAAAAACACTGATATAATATAGTTACCCTCATCTACTTGCATTTTCCATTTAGTTAATGTTAACTGTAATGCAGTTTCAGTTGAGTGATATTTTCTAAAGCTCTAAATTTTCTATTCAATGAATGAATTAATTCGAATGTTTTTATTCGATAGTTGCAATCATTCATTTAGTAATTATTCGATAGTCGAAATCATTCGATAGTGCCCCTCACTACTATGAATAATGGACGGAAAGATAGATTTTCGTTGTCATGTCATCCTAATGAGTAAAAGTGATTCCTTGGCTATGGAAAACAGTAGCGAAACAGCGCATTTTTCACCAGGGGATCAATAAAACATAAGCTTTTGTATGGATTCTATTTATCTCTGTTTATTGGGATGGTTCAGTTCAAACACGATCAATACGACAGACAATAATTTTGAGAAATACGTCAGCTTAACATTGTAAAGAATGTTTAAGAAATAAACTTTAAATTGGCTTTGGAAATGTTGCTTATTTTTATTAGATACGAATTGAAAACGATTGCACTTTTACACATGGGTATCATCTCATTTTCAGGTGCCCAAGAAAACAAAGGAACCATGGTGGGCAGTAATGCTGCAGTTATGGCGGTTGACTTTGACACATCTGGATCGCTGGTTTTAGGAGCCTCGAACGATTATGCAACCAGAGTGTGGGCTGTCGCTGATCAGAGATTAAAGGTTAGAACATATTTTGCCCATGACAGCGTATACCGGTAAAAAGATACTTTTTAGAAGATGTGTCGCATGATTTAGGTTTTTGAAAGCTCTGTGACAAGGAGAAACGGTTTTCAATCATACGAACGAAAAAAAAACGTTTAATACTTTATGAACACGTGAAATTACCTATAAAAGAAAAGTATATCAAATACAGTTGATCACTACTTGTTTTCATATGAATAAGTACCTAAACACCACAACATTTGTTTAAAAAGCACTAAGCAGAGACAAAAAATAATCTTTGTCTCACTAAGCTTAAACGGTTTGTAACGGATTTCACTCTCAGTGTGACGTCACGCAGATTGTCAAATGGACACAGCTGATGCGCAAGATCATACCTTATATTCCTTGTATCATGTATTTTGCCTGTGTTTCGGTATGACGCCGAGCTTTTCGCATTGTCGAGTTGTCTGATGCAAAAACTACATTATTTAATAATAATTTTCTTTCCTGGGTTTCAGTCAAAATGCGAAATAAAAATATTCAAATCGTTTATTTCATATTACGTTTCGGCGAGACGACAGGGCCATCATCAGATTTAAAACTTAAAACAAACTATAAACACCAATTTACAATTAAAATATGTATACAAAAACTATAATTTATAAGCATTAAAACTTTTTAACATTTTAAGAAAAAAATTCTTTGGGAGAGCACAAAACTTACCCCATAATGAGGAAACATTGTGTTTCCCCCGAAAAATGTTTCCCAATTATGGGGAGCATTATTTATTTTTATTTCACACTTTTTTTGACTGCAACCCTGGAAAGAAAAAATATAATAACAATTACACGCAGTCAGGAAAATAAATCAAACTATTTACGTGTGGGTCAATACAAAAAGCCTTTTTAAAAAAGGTCTTTATTAGAACCAGGATACAAATGAACTGGTTTCTCTTTGTTTCGAGTTGCAATTGTAACCTCGGTACATGTTCTTATCTTTGCTTAGTGTTTAATTAATTATTGCTTACAATTTAAGTTGCAAGAATGTAACT